TTGGGAGATTGTCTGTTTCTGGAAATGTATCCGTTTCACCCACATTGTACAATTTGTTGGCATATAGTTGTTCACAATATTTTCTTACAATCCTTTGTATTTCTGTGGTGTCATTTGTCACTTCTCCTAATTCTATAATTTTGTTTATTGGGGTCCTCTCATTCTTCTTGATGAGTCTGGTTATGTTTTTCAATCTTGTTTATCTTGCAAAGAAGCAGCTCTTGGTTTCATTGACTTTTTTATATCATTTTTTATAGCATCTATGTGATTTATTTTCACTCTCATCTTTATTATTTCCTTCTTTCTACTCACTTTGTTTTTTTTGTTTGTTTTCCTTTTTTTAGTTCTTTTAAGTGTAAGGTTAGAGTGTGTATTCAAGTGTTTTCTTGCTTCTTGAGGTAGACCTAGAATACTATGAATTTCCCTCTCAAGACTGCTTTTGCTGTGTCCCATAGAGTCTGGGTTCTTGTGTGTTCATTTTCATGTGTCTCCAGGTAAATTTTCACTTCTTCCTTGGTCTCATCGTTAACCCATTCATTGTTCACTGAGGCATCCTCTTAATCTCTTCTAGTCCACTCTGTATAGTGTTGCCAAAGTAATCTTCCAGGAACAGCTGAATAAGACCATTCTAGGGTTACCCATTGCTTATCAAATAATCTTTAAGTTTTGTAGCCTGACTATCAATAGTCTTTTCCAGGATGACATGGAGATAATGCTCTTTTCCGTGAGTCTAATTTTCCAAAGAAGGTGAAGTATGTTGCATGTGAAGCAGTTAAATGTCAAATGGGCTTTAGAAGGGGAATGAAATTCCTGCTCTGAGGGGGAAGAATGAAGAAGGCCGAGGTGACCCAAGGGGATCCTGGTCTCTTTTCATCATGTTTTTCCAGGTGTGTCTTTCTGGTCTCCCCACACTGGTCTCTGAGCTGCCTGCACCAACTCCCCTTCCCCACCTCCGTGTCTCTGCAGAATTCATCGCCTCCACCTGGAATCCATTCTCCCACACTCAATGCGCAGCCGAAAGGCAAGGGCTCTACTCAGTGCGCCCCCGAGGTGAGATCCTCTGATAGCATCTTAGGTAAGATGCTATCTACCTCTGATAGTAAGATGCACTATCAAAGTTTGGCACTTCGCCCAGTTGACTGTGTACGATACTGACCATGTCTCATGGTTTATCACCTCCACCGCCCAGGAGCACTGGAAGCCTTATGCCGATGTCCAGCCCATGTTTTGTTAGCTTGCACTCTTTTTTAAAAATCACGATTCTTTTATTAAAAAAACCAACTACAACCTACATCAAACATACAGAAAAGTACAGAAAGTAAAATAATGTGTACTAGGGATCTATCACCAAGAACGAACAGATCGCCTCCAATACCTTTGCCACCTGCTTTTAAAAAAATAAAATATTCCACATACAATTTGAGCACTAGTCCACACGCTCCATTCCTAGGACTGGTCTTCACAGTTTTCAGAATCAAGAATGAGTGACAGTATTTAGACATAGAGAAGTTTCACATAAAGATCGGGAAGTTCTTGCTTTCCTTGAAGGGTGGGATGATCTGGCAACTCGGGGTACCTTTCATCAGGAATGAGCAGGGCCTCCATAGAACCCGGCACCCCACATTCCCAAGCACTCCCACAGTCTCTTAGCCCCAGGACGCTTCACCTACAGCGGGGGGTCTGCAGGCATGGGAACTTGCCTGTGGTGGAAACCCTTTGAAGTTCAAAAGCTTTGTTCATAACTGGAGGGGAACTGCTAACTAGCTGGATGACCTTGAGCCCATTAGTTACCTCTCCGTGCTTCCGTTTCCTCACCAGCCACATGAAGCTACGGGGACCTATCAATACTTCTGACTGTCATCATGAGAATTATTATGTGAAGCGTTTAGAGCAGCGCCTGGCATGTAATTCATTCTGCTAGAGACCCAAGAGACCCACAATTCTAGTCTACAACACTTGAGGCTAGATGTGCTTTGGAATTCAGATTTCTTTTGGATTTCAGTAAGATAACTCATGGACAGAACATGTGAGGCAGTACCACCAGTACCTGGTGATTAACGACACCGAAATTTCTGCAGGAGAAAGCAAGACATGAACGTGAAGTGCTGTACCTTTCAGGGTGACCCGGGCTGAGGTTCGTTCAATCTCCACCTCCCCTGCCCCCACACTCACCGAGCTGCTCTGGTCCTAGACTTTGGCTCTTTCTTGGCTGTTTGGGCTTTCTCATGAGAGGGGAAACAGTGAGGGTGGTTTTTGTTCTTGTTGGTCTGTTTGCTAATGAAGTGAGAACTCTGTGGTTGGGAGGGAAGGCGGGACCCCCACCATCCCCCCCACCCTGCGCCAGGGTTTCTGACCCAGTTGGTCTGGCTGGCTTTCCTGCCCATCTGCCACCTCGAAGCTTGCTGTTGCCTTTCTGCTGGTCCTTCACCAGGCCATCCACCACCTGCCAGCTCCGCCTTGGTCCTCAGAGACCTGCCTCATCCAAGTCCGGACCCCACTCCCTCATCTTCCCAGGGAAACCCTTCCTCCAGGAAGGCTGGCCGCCTCAGCCCCCTTTCCCAGCTCCACACTCACGTCTCCCCCACACCACTGCCCGGCCTCTTCCCCGCCTGGACCACCTCACTCTCCTACCCAAGTCCCACATCCTTCAAGGCCTAGCTGAGGTTGTCCCCCCACACCCAGCGCCCAGACTTTTCCCAGTAACTTCAGCTCAGCCCGATTCTCTAGACTCATATATACATAGCACTCAACCCTGTGGCCCAGCACGCACTTGAGTTCTTACTCTCTCATTTGCTGGGTACCGTGCACAGTCACCCAGGTGGGAGAAGAAAAGGGAAGAAGACAGGGGGGGAGAGGGGAGGTCCAAGCTGGGGAGGTTGGTATTTTCCCTCACAGCCTCTGCTGCCCCCGTGCGGTGCTTCTGTGTGGTGCACCATGGGCTCGAAAGCTTGGGCCCGACCCCCCTGAGCCAACAGGTCTGTGCCTACTCTAACATTCAGAGGCCTTTGTGCTTGTCTGCTTGGAACCCCTGGGTCACCCCCGTCCTCCCTTGCTCTTTGGCGACAATGTCTCTCCCCTTCCCTGTGAAAATTGCCCTGATGAATTTATAGGTGTAGGGTTTCACCAGGCTAAACACACGGGTGGGGGCCTTTGTCCCACACCCACCACCCTCCTCTCCTTCCTTCTCCTTTGGGGTAAACAGAGGAAGGTGTGCACCCCTACAGGGTGTTTCTTGCAGTGGAGGAGGGCAGGGAGGGAATGTTTCATTTCTCACCTGACCCCCAACCACCTGGGCCACTCCACCCTGATGTCTAGATGCTAATTGTCTGTCCCTGGGGCTTTTGAAAGTGATAGAAACCTGCTCACCTGGGCCGGAGTGTTTTTTCCCCCCATTTCTCCTTAAGAGTGAATGTTTCAACTCACTCCTCTGTGGTGATCAAATTCAACGGAATTCTGAATCTGTAAATTCCCTGAGCAAGAAGGAGCGTACCTTTCGTGGCTGTGGCCATAGGGACAGGCCATACCCTGGTCTAGAGGGGGAGGGACTCACCTCCCCACACGCAGACCCCCAGCCCCTCCTCACCTGCTCCTGGGCACAAGGTGCTTGTTGGCACTGCTTCGTTTGACTGCTGGTCCTTGGTCCAGTTAATGACTGTGTCATCATTTAAGTCCCCAGACGAGTGTTGATTGGCCTGCTCCCCGTAGGAAAATTGAGAGGGATGAGGGGCCGGTGATGAAAGGCCAGATAAAGGGAAAGGAAAGAAGCCAAGGAGAAAGAAGGGTGAAGAGAGGATGCAATGTAGGGGAGAAATGGGAGGGGGAGTTCAATCTGGAGCGGTGGGGTAGGAGACCAAGGGCTGACAGGAGATCAATTTCCAGGGAATTCATACCTGTCCCTTTACTTCCCGGGAACCCTTGGAGTGATTCACTGTGTGATTTGAAGGCTGGCATAAGGGCTTATGAATTGCTGGAATGACCAACACTATATCCAGGTCTGTCCCAGAGACCTTTGAGCAGATGGACATGGGGTGGGCGCTGGCTACGTCTCTGCTTCTCCCTCCCCTGCCCAGGCCACCTGACACGGGCTTGCACACGACCCCAGGTGCCCTTTGGAGTGCTCTTGAGTTCTAGGGAGTCTTGCACAGGGCTGGGCAAGAAGTAGGTGACCCAGGGGATCCAGGCTCTCCCAAGGATCAGTGGCCAGTGTTCCAGGGGCTCTGCTGTATTGCTGACAAGCCCAACTGCCCCTTATTTTGCCGTAAATTTTGGGCAGTTCAGGCTGCGGGATTCAGTGGAAAAATAAGGGCTTTCAAGTAAGTGTATCCGGGTTCAATGGCCTGGTCACTCACCAGTTAGCGTGACCTGGAACCAGTCTGTTTACTGATGAAACTGGAGTTCCCACCTCATGGGATTCTGGTGAGGGTTAAAGGTGGTGAGATATGTCGGTCATATGTTTCAGGCATGAAGCATAGTAGGTACTTAGTGGATCTTAGTTCCCCCTTCCAGAACCTTCTGCCCACCCCAGTTTCATGCAGCTGTTCCAATAGGGGATGGTGATAACTAGAGATAAATGAGAAAGGAGGAAGACATGTATTCACATAAACCACAACTTCCTTCAGCTTAGGTGTGAAAACATTTATTATTCTTTTCATTGAGCTGTGTAAAGGAATAGGAATTTAAAGAAGATTTTGCAATTAACAAAGGAAATGAAACCAGTGAGCAAAAGCCTGAATTAGAAGAGGCCCCAGTAGCTCAGAACCGGCCGCCGAGAATTTGGGGTCAGCAGCTGCAGCGAATCTCGTGTGTCTTCTGGAGGGTGGGTTGGTCAGAAAGCTTCTGGTTGGGCCAGGGACGAGTGGTGTGAGGAAGACCGTGAAATGGCCACCTTGTAAAAGGATGCAGCAGGACCTGCGCCCAACTTACTTTCTGTAGGAAGCCAGAGGGGGGGAGCTCGGCAGTCACCCCCTAACAATACCCCACCCACACCCTCGTCACCCGGCTCAGTGAGTCTTTGTTTTCAGGCCTTGCTTGTGCTGCTCCACCAGGGAGCCGACCCACGCCGTGGTTTTCTGCTTGGCTTTCTCCCAGCTGAAGAGTGGCTCATACCCCAGATCTCGCTGAGCCTTCTTGTAGGAGAAAGTGAACACACTATTCAACAAGGTCACTAAGTGGCGGTTGAAGGGAGGCTGATACCTGTAAAATGGACTGAGCAGGAAGCTCACTATTTCCAGCAGGAAGCCAAGCCAGTACCTCAGCCATATAGGAAGGCTCATTCTGGAATCAAGGCAGAAGCCCCACTCTTTGCTCAAATTGTAATTGAGGTGATCGTAGCTTTGGTGAGGGGTGTCATCTGAGATGTAGTAGAACTGTCCTTGGATTTTGGGGGCTTTCTCAGGGTCCTGCAGGGCCCTCAGAGCCAGAATGTGGGCCCAGGCCACATTGCCGACGTAGACGGGGTTGACAATGGAGAGCTTGCTGTTGTGTGGCAGGATGCCATTGTTCTTCAGGGCCCGGTCAATAAAGCCATAGAGAAAGGGGCTTCCTTCCCCATAGATATACGTGGGCCTTAAGGCACAAGTGTACAAGGTGCCACCATCTTTAAGAGCCCACCCATTGGCTGCCAGCACAGCCCTCTCGGCAAGCTTTTTGCTGTATGGGTATGCAGCGGACCACGTCGTTTCCAGGTGCTCTTCTTCACGGGCATTCTGGACGATCTCCCTGTAGGAGTTGGGCCCAGCCACCTCTATGGTGCTGGTATAAATGAAGATCGGCACGCTGGCCTGGGTACAGGCCTCCAGCAGGATCTGGGTACCTGCCCATAGCACGCACGCTGTCAGTGTTGGGGAGTAACCCAAAGGACCCCTGGCTGCAGACCACGTCCCCCACCCCCACCCCGGGAGGGCATACGTGCAGACCCCGAGCGAACTTTTCCTCCTCTCTGGCTGAGAGCTGACTGTGCTAACACCACAGAAAAATGCAAAAATAAAAGGAGACAGACATGGAGTGCAGACATGTCTAGGCTTTTGGATTCCACGGGCCTCTGTGTATACTTCTAATTCTGGAAAAGGACATAAGGCTGCCAATTTATATTTTCCTGACTACAGAGGTTTAAAAATGGTCATTTTTTAATCCCTATTGCCTCAGTAGTGACAGGCTGCTTCAAGTTTTTAAAAAATTAGGAGGCCGTACTCTCAGAATATGGACAGTCCTAGTCGTTAGGCAAAAGAGAAGAGTTGAAGGACTCATCTCAAACACACACACACACACACACGCACAATTATTTATAGGTAAAACACACTCTTACATGTATGCATATCTTGAATCGTCTGCATTGTTCTCTTTATTTAAGGACCAATAATATTAAATGTAGTCACAAGGACCTTTCTTTGAGAGTCACTGAGCAAATTAGTGGGTTCTGGGGAAAAGGTGGCGATCCAGAGTCTGTTCCCGTTTGCGTGTTCCCTACAAAGGCCACACCTAATTCTGCCTGTGACTCCAGTTGCCCAGGTTTGCAAAGTGAGGGTGATAAACCTGCCTTTACTTAGCATTGCAGAATTCTGCCCTGGCCTTGCCAGTAGAGCCTGGTGGAGAATCGGAACGAGTCCGCCCCCTGGCGGCAATACTTATAACAGGAGGATCTGGTAGAATCCCTTCAACTGGGTAGAAAACCTTAGCTCGTGGAAGTAATCAGCACCTTCCCTACAAGGGATTTCTGGCACAAATCATCATTTAATTTTTTTGCATTAAAAAATCCCTTTTAAGATAATTATGCAATTTCATTTTAGGGAGAGACAGTCTCACTTTTTTAAAATTAAATCTAGAGGCAGAGAATATTTGGAGCTAATTTACTTGCGGAGATGGAAACGATGATCATCATGAAGTATTTTCTAAACCTGGAAGTGATGTTGTTTTTAGTCATCTGACAGTTCTCGAGGATTTCAAGCCTCCTTTTGCTGGGAGCGTGAAGAGCAGGAATTTCTAGAGAGGGACCAAACTTGAGTAACTGGTTCCTCTCAGCACCCTCCTTGGGGTGGGGGTGGTTAGGGGCGTGGCTAAGTAGAACCTCAAAGGGGTCTTTTTTGAGATTGTGCTGCTTTTGGCTGGAGACCCAGAGCAATAAATTGCTTTAGAAAAAGAGATCTCTGAGTAGACTAATTTTGGAGTGCAGGGCATGGGGGACAGAGGGTTAGGAGGCAGGGTGCTGTGGTCCTAGAAAGACTGGCCTCCGGGGGTCAGAGGATGTTATAACCTGACAAGCTAATAAGGGACTTAAGCTAAACCCTTGAGCAAATGCATGTAGATTTAAAGTAGATTGGAAAGCCACAATTCTGAAAGAGCCACCAAGCATTTAAGGTTGGAGGACCTCAGGTGTACTCTGCACACCTGGTTGAGGAACTGGTCTAAGAGTAGACCAGGTAGTGAGATGAAGAGATGGTATTTTGGATAATGGGATGCCACTACTTTAAGAAAATGTTACAGGGAGTCATGTTCTGGGTCGTTGTGTAGGACCAGACCACTGTGAACTAGCTCTGCCCTGTTCAGGAGGAGACCACCTTCCCCCTCGAGCCGTGGCCCATCGCTCGTAGCTGACTTCTGTCTCGGCCTTTCTGTGCGACCACCACATTAGAACCACATCGAAGGGCTAAAATGATGACCAAGAAAGCACCGGTGAGGCCTGGTTCCTGCCCAGGGGAGGTGGCTGAGTATCAAGAGTTTGAGGTTGGAGTCTAGTCCACGTTTGATGGGGGCAGCAGTAGAAAGAGCTTTGGCAGCCTTTGCGTCACACAGCTGTGGGTTTAAATTCTAGGTCTCCCTCTCTGTGGGAAGGGCCATGCAAGTCACTTAGCCTCTCTCAGCCTTCCTGTTCTCTTCTAAGAACCTGAGCACGGCAGCCGTGGGCTTCTCCGTGGGGAGTGCGCAGCAAAAGCGCAGAGTGATGGGTGATGGGGCTGCTCCTCCCTCCCTTGTCCAGTTTCCCACCTCACTTGCCCGCCTCCCTCCACCTTCTCCCCAGGATACTGTACCTTTCAGATTGACATTCATCGTGATCTCTCGTGGAATGACATTAAGGATGTCAATGACAGAGGCGGCATGAATGACTGCTGAGGTGCCCTGGCAGGCTCTCTTCATGAACTGTTCGTCCAGAATGTCTCCTTCCAGCAAGGTCAGCTTGACCTTGCTCTGCAGCTCTGTGTGAACACCCGTCAGTCACTGGAGGGCTTTCTGCATCTGGGAGTTTTCTGATAAAGGTGGCATTTTACCCAGGTCTTTGCAAGGACAGGCAGGTTGCAGGGAGGGAGGAGGGAGGCACGTTCCGTGGAAGGAACAAGTGGTGTAGGAAGCGTGCCCTGGCCACAGTGGGCTGGTGTGGAGGGTGTAAGACAGGGGCGTCAAACTCGTTTTCACCAGGGGTCACATCAGCCTTGCGGTTGCCTTCAGAAGGTCAGATGTAATTTTAGGACTGTATAAATGTAACTACTCCTTAACTTTAAAGAGTTGAAATTACATTCCACTCTTTGAAGGCAATCGAGAGGCTGATATGGCCCCGGTGAAAATGAGTTTGGCACCCCTGGGCTAAAGTAACAGTTCCCCAGTGTGACGTCAGGTGGCCCCTATAATGATGAAACAGAGGGAGGGCCCTTACGTGTCACTTCTGCGCCAGGCACTGTGCTAAGTGTTTGGCACGTTCACTCATGTGCTCCTCTTAACCCAGTGGGACGAGCCCTATCGTCCCTCCTTCTGTAAAGATGAGGACAGACACAGGCATGGAGGGGCTGAGTCTGCTCAGGCAGCAGCGACACAATTCCACAGCTGGGAGCTTGAGAACATTAGCAATCTATTTACCGTGGTTCTGGAGCCTGGACGTCCAAATTCAAGGCACCAGCGCGGCGGCGTTCTGGTGAGAGCTCTCTTTCCGAGACATAGCTGGCGCCGCCTGGCTGTGCCCTCCCATGATGGAAGGGTGAGGGATGTTTCTGGGGTCTCTTTTGTAGAAACACTAGTCCCATTTACGAGCGTTCTGCCCTCCTGACCTAACCACCTCCCAAGGCCACACCTCCCAACACCATCACATTGGACACAAACATTCGGAGTGCAGCAGGAGTTAACTTGTTCAAGGTCCCACAGCTGGAAAATGGCAAAGCTGACCTTGAAGCCAGGCAGCATTGTCGGTGCTTTTAACCATCGGTTTGCCTGGGAGCTTTTCCCTGAGCCTCCCTCCCACGCAGCCCACACCGCAGAAGCAACTGCGTGTTTACTCTCACCAGTGCCGGGAGCCAAGGTCCCACCACCCGAGGCTTCCCCAGCGCCCTGGCCTGGTTTCTCTGCATCTCTGCAGGCTAGAGGGGGAGGTAGGAGCACTTCAGACTTCTCCCCCACCACCTCCCCTCTCCCCCAGCCCCATCTCCAGCCCCTGGGAGACACACTGAGTCTTTTGATCCAGTCTGCTGAGGTCAGCAGCAATGGAGAGCCGGAGAGGAGGAGGAAGGGAGGGCAGAGGTAGGCGACATAACTGGGGAAAATGCCACTCTCAGGCTGACTTCTAGCAGCTTCTCCCCTGCCTTCCCTGTACTCTGGGGTCTTCTAGGGGGGCAGAGCACGCTCGGCAGACTTCAGGAGAACAGATGGTTGTTCGCAGTTGTAACCCAGGAAAGAAATCCTCCAGCCCTGAATTTTCCCTCTGAATTTCTCTCTTATTGTTCTCTGGCCCCCCACCACCAATTTGAGCTGAATGGGTTTCTCATTTCGGCCCCAGAAATGTGCCAGGCCCGCCCTGGGTGGCAGGGAAGGGGAGCGAGGTTAGAAGGCAGGGGCGGGCTGAGCTGTCACTACGAGTGTGACTTAGACCTGCTCCTTTACTGCCCCAGCCTCAGTTTCCTCACCTGGAAAGTGGAAATGAGAATTACCTATCTCAGGAAATAAGTGTGAAGGGAAATCAGAAAGCCGTGAAAATTGAGTAGAAAGCGGAAAACACAGGGTAAGTGTAGGGAAGGGTGTCGAACTCATTTTCACGGTGGGGGGGCCACGTCAGCCTCACAGCTGCCTTCAAAGGGCCGAATGTAATGTGAGGACTGTATAAATGTAACGACTCCTCCACAGTGAAGCGAGAGCTTGGTGCGGCCGGCAGGCCTCGAGTTTGCCACCTGTGCTCTAGCTGGTTCCCTTTTGGGGGCCCCTCAGATTGCAACTGTTGCTGAGTGGCAAGGATTACAAACACCTGGTGTTTATTATTGTGGATTGGTGTCTTGGAGGGAGACATGGTTGAAGCGGAAGGTGGAGGAAACAGGACCTTTGAGGGGGTCAGAGAAGAGGAGGGGGGAGCAGAGTGCTGGGCACACTCCAGGAGAGCAGGTGGGGGCTCTGCTGGGGGCCAGGTCTCCCGGACAGCATGTAGGCGCCCAGTCTGTAGGGCCAGGGGCTAGGGCCAGGGTCCAGGGCCAGGGGATGGGTTTGGGGACACAGAGGGGGAGCTCACTTGGCCAGGAGCCACATGACCCTGGCCCCTGTAATAAGGCGCCAGTCTGAGCTCCGGCACTCCGTAACCAGAGGTCTCCGACAAAGCTTTATCCTTGTGGACCTTGATTTCGTCATTGTCCAGATGCGGTGCCCCCCTTTCCTCACAGGATTATTTGCAGGATTCAGAGGGTAAAACAGGTTGGAAAATGCACAGTGAGTCCAGCTTTTGCATTTGAATCAGGGGCAGCTATCTGGGGGGAAAAGCAGGGAGCTGCCAATAGCAGCGTCTGTAGCCCCTGCCCCGTGGTGGTGAGGAGCAGAGAATCTGGTAAAAAAAGATGAGCAGGGAGCCCACAGAGGTGTGTCGCGCTCCTGCAGCCTGGCACTGTGTCCCTGGCTCCTGTCCTGTGCTCTTGGGCAACCTCTCTGCTCTCTGCCCCCGTTCTTGTCACACCCTCCCCCTTATTCTCGCCCACTCTCTAATTCTCACTCTTTGGCTCACCGTCACACACACACTCAGCTTCAGCTTCACTTCTGTTTATTTCACCTTCACTGGAGATGCTGAGTGAAGCCACAAAAACGCCAGGGCAATAAAAAGGAGCAGGGACCCCCTGGTGGGGGTCTCTGGGTTCCGGATGCGCACCTGCCCTTTGTAGATGTTTTGCAGTAATTGCCAGGTCAGAAGTTTCACAGCTTTGATGAGTTGTTGACATGGGAGGGAGCCAATATGTGATTTTGTGGGTGAGAAGGAAAGGGTCCTAGAGGCCTCTCTCGTCTGGGCCAGTTCAGTCTCTGACGCACCCAGCCCAGCCCAGCATCTCTGCTACTGCACCATCTGCAATTTCCTCTCTGGTGACTTTTGCACGAGGGGTTAGCTTTGATTGGCTACCGCGTTTCCTAATTCGCTAGAGAAGGACTCCCTCCCCATCCCTACACAGGGTTTAGGATGGAGCTCCACACCCATGACTCGAGTCCACTTACTAGAAAATTCCTCCCGCAGCTTGGGTCTGAAAACTCTGTCCAGCACTCGGATCTCCTGCAGCTCTTTCTCCTCCACCAACAAGTGGATGATCCTCTGTCCCAGAAAGCCTCCAGCGCCGGTCACAAGGCAGCTCCACCCAGCCATGGCCACACCTGAGGACCAAAAGCCAGGTCCCGTACCCCCTCTCTCCTCCCCCCTTAAAGATAATAATCTAAAAAAAAAAAGAAATACTCTCCAGAAACCAGAAAACACGGGGAAATGGATTGGCACAGAGGGCCGCCCCAAAGAGGGCCAAAACCAGAGGCCAGGCGGTTACAGGTTCGCCAAAATCTATTCTGTTCCCTCTACTCCATGTGTGCAAAACCCACCCCTCACACCCAGGAGCAGCTGAGAGAAAATTTCAAAAGCTCTAACCTGGGAGGGGGCTGAAATCCAGCTGAAAGAGTCCGTGCTCGTGTCCTTGTCACCCAAGGCAAGGCTGGGGCTTTATGTGCTGACCCCTTGGGCGCTGCCTCCTCACCTTGGACTCTACTGCATATTCATTGGCTCATCCCGCCCCAGGATGCCTCCTCCCACAGTGGGGGGAACTCCAGCCTATATCTCTCCTCCAAAGCCCAGGAAGAGAAAAGCAACCTTCAACGCCACAGCATGATGAAGACCCTTGGTTCCCCCCGCAGCAGGACAGCCCGAGGCGGCGCCTGCTGTTGGGGATCCACAGCCTGTGAATTTAAGCTCAGCGAGGAGATGTTCCCGCCCGATGGGGATTTTTCACCTTGTGAAGTGAATGACCTGGGTGGGGGGCGGTGCAGGGAGCCACTTTAGAGTGTCCCCTCTCAGAGTGTGGTTTGAAATGTTGCCACCTTGCAAAGTCGAGAAATACGTGATGGTGGCAGCTCCCGTCACCATGTTCTATGGGAGTTGACTTTCTTTCCCACCCAACATATCCAGAAGGTCAGTTTTGATCCCCCCCCAACCCCGGAGCGCTCAGGGGGAGCTATCTGGTGATAACCACCTGATTCTCTGGCCTGTATCATGAGATTCAGAGTCTAGTTGTGGGTCACATGGTTTTTTAATAACAATTTGCATTCGACTCACATTTGGGTTGCAAAACCACCCCGAGCAGGTTCCTAACTAAAAATGCCATGGATGCCCTGAAGCCCATGCCTCAGAGTGGCTCAGACTCCATGCATGCAAGCTCCTCAGGGCACTGCCCCTCCTCCGCTTCAACTTGGATCTAGTTTACATGCATTCAGATGTCCAGGTCTTCCAGGGTAGTTCAATGCGCCCGGACAAGTCTGCATACCCATGTAACTGCCACACAAAACAGGACAGAGAGCACTTCCTGCTCCCCAGAAGGTTCTTTCCTGCCCCTTTCCTGTCAAATCCCACCCCCATGCCCTGCTCTACCCCAGAAGCAACTGCATTCTGATTGTTCTGATTTTTAGTCCCATAACTACTCTCCTAATTTTTTCTCCTAAAGTCTTTATGGTTCTGGTGTAGGTAGAATCCACCTGAAATTAAGTTTTGTGCATGAGGTACAGACAAATTTACCTTTGTATTTATTTCTGTACGGTCTGTTCATTTTCTGTTTCATCAGCTTCTTTTAATTATTTACTTCCTTTTATTTACTTCGGGTTCAATTGACTCTTTTTCTCCAGGGTTCCTGTAGTGAAACCTTCAAGAATTAACTCAATCCCTTCCCTGTTTTCAAAGACCAGCATTTAAAGCTGTAAAATTCTCTCCAAGGACTGTGCTAGCTGCAGCCAGCGATTTCGATGTATTGGATTTTTAACAGCATTCATCTAAAAATGTTTTCTGATTCACCTGTGATTTCCTCTTTAAGTCATGAATTATTCAGAAGTGCGTTGTTTAATTTTTAAGACTGAGTTTTTCTTTAGCTGTCTTATTGTTATTGGTTCATAATTCAGCACCTTGTGGTCAGAGTGTATGAGTTTGATTCTTAGATATCTGAGGCTTGTTTGGTGGCCAGGCATACAGTCAATCCCAATGAAGATGTCACATGGCAATGGGAAAGAGTATTTTCTTCAGTCGTTGGGAGTAGCCCTCCTCGGAGATTGGGTCTGACACCCTATTCTAGGCTCTCCCTCTCCCTGACCCTCCCTGGGCTCCCACCAAATTTGGGAGGACTAATGGTTGTTCATGCTGCTGTTGAGTTCTGTTTACATTTACACTGGTGAAATATTATGTTATTAAATATTTTACCACATTTTTTGCTTCAAATTTTTTCCTATTTTCTTCCTCTAAAACCTAGGTGTGTTTTAGAGGAAGAAAATACGGTCTATTTTCTTCCTCTAAAACCTAGGTGTGTTTTAGAGGAAGAAAATACGGTACTTGCTTAGGAAACTTTGAGTGTAGTCCCTGAGTTTTAACAGCTTGTTTTCTGAAGCAATCATCCCTCACTAAAGGCCCTTGGTCTGGTTGAGACATGTGGAACCTTATCTGAGGTTCACTGAGGAGCACCACACACTTCTGCCTGCTAGAATTTGCTGTAAATGAACCATTCACGTCCCCCATGCCCTTCAGATCTGAGGTATCATTCCCCCAGCTGTTGGCAGTGCTAGAGGCTGGTAGATGACAGCTAGCGTCTCTCTGGGAATTCTCTGCAAACAAAGAGCCAATAGAACAAGAGTTCAGGGTCTCTGAGTGGAACCAATGAATATAAACTCAACTGCAGAATAAATGAACAAGCAAAATGGAAACAGACTCATCCATACAGAGATCAGACTGGTGGTTGCCAGAGAGGACAGGAGGTGGGGACTGGGTGAAAAAGGTGAAAGGATTAAGAAGTACAAATTGGTAGCTACAGAACAGTCACGGGGTCATGAAATACAGTGCAGGGAATGGAGTCAATACCATTGTAACAACTACGTACGATGCCAGGTGGGTACTTCAAACATTGAGTACAGTACTTTGTAAAGTACATAATTGTCTAACCACTATTAGGTGACCTGAACCTAATGCAAAATAATATTGCATGTAAAGTGTAACTGAAAAATAAAATAAAAAAATAAACTCTTTGGAAAGTGTGAGATAAAATAAAGGGCAAGGCAAATACGGGCCACAACATCATCTTTAAAATTTCTATTGCAAACAGCATTATGGAGACATAATGTACATGCCTAGTTAAAAAAAAATGGGTGATTTATCTTCTTAATGTTGAATTGTAGGAGTACTTTATATCCTGAATACAAGTTCCTTAATAGGTATATGATTTGAAAATATTTTCCCAATCTGTAGCTTTTTTCTTTCTTTCTTTTCTATTGTTCAAATAAAGTTTTCTGCCTTCCCCCTCCCCCTCCCCACCTCCTTCCCCTGTTTCTACCCCCTCTTGTTATTGTCCCTGTGTTCCCTATAATTGTTCCTATAAACCCTTCACCCTTTCCCCCTATTATCCCCTCCCCCTCTCCCCTCTCCCCTCCTCGCTCCTGTCACTGTCAGCCTGTTGTCAATTTCAGTGTCTTTGGTTATATTTTCATTGCTTTTTCATTTTGTAGGTTCCAGTTAAAGGTGAGATCATATGGTATTTGTCTTTCACTGCCTGGCTTGTTTGACTCAGCATAATGCTCTCCAGTTCCATCCATGCTGTTGCAAAGGGTAGGAGATCCTTTCTTTCTGCTGCATAGAATTCCATTGTGTAAATGTACCATAGATTTTTGATCCATTCATTTACTGATGGGCACTTAGGTTGCTTCCAGCACTTAGCTATTGTAAATTGTGCTGCTATAAAAATTGGGGTGTGTAGGTTCTTTTGGATTGGTGTTTCAGGGTTCTTAGGATATAATCCTAGCAGTGGAATTGCTGGATCAAAAGGCATATTCATTTTTAGTTTTCCTAGAAAATTCCATACTGTTTTCCATAGTAGTTGTACCAGTCTGCAATCCCACCAACAGTGCACTAGGGTTCTCTTTTCTTTACAACCTCTCCAACACTTGTTGTTTGTTGCTTTGTTTGTTTACGATGGCCATTCTGACTGGTGTGAAGTAGTATCTCATTGTGGTTTTAATTTGCATCTCTCTGATAGCTAGTATATTGAGCATCTTTTCATGTGTCTCTGGACCCTTCGTATGTCCTCCCTGGAGAAGAGTCTGTTCAAGTTCTTTGCCCATTTTTTAATTGGGTTGCTTATCTTCTTAGAGTGGAGGCATTTGAATGCTTTTGGAGATCAAACCCTTGTCTGAGGTGTCATTGGCAAATGTTTCCCATATGGTTGGTTCTCTTTTCATTTTAATGCTGTTGTCTTTAGCCATGCAGAAGCTTTTTATTTTGATGAGATCCCATTTGTTTATTCTTGCCTTTATGTCCCTCGTTCTAGGGGACATATCAGTGAAAATATTTCTCCATGAAATATCTGGACTTTCCTGCCTACATTCTCTTCTAGGACTTTTATGGTGTCATGACTTATATTTGAGTCTTACATTCACCTTGAATTTATTTTTTGTGTATGGTGTAAGTTGGTGATTGAGTTTCATATTTTTTCATGTAGCTATCCAGCTCTCCCAACACCATTTGTTGAAGAGGCTATTTTTGCTCCATTTTATGCTACTGCCTCCTTTGCCAAATATTAATTGACCATAGAGACTTGAGTTTATTTCTGGGCTCTCTATTCTGTTCCATTGGTCCATGTGTCTGTTCTTATGCCAGTACCAGGCTGTATTGATTACAGTGGCCTTGTAATATAGTTTGGTATTAGGTATTGTGATCCCTCCTACTTTGTTCTTCTTTCTCAAAATTGCAGGACCTATTCAGGGTCGTTGATGGTTCCATATACATTTTTGAAGTGTTTGTTCTATGTCTGTGAAATATGCCACTGGTACTTTAATAGGTATTGCATTGAATCTGTAAATTGCTTTGGGTAGTATGGACATTTTGATGATGTTAATTCTTCCGATCCATGAAGGGATCTGCTATTTGGTCTTCCATCTTAACTGAGAGCCTTGCTGGGTAAATTAGCCTTGGTTGCAGGCCTCTGGTTCTCATTACTTGGAATATTTCTTGCCATTCTCTTCTGGCTTGGAGCATTTCCACTGAGAAGTCAGCTGCTAACCTTTTTGGGGCTCCCTTGTATGTTACTTCCTGTTTGTCCCCTGCTGCCTTTAAGATTCTCTCTTTGTCTTGGAATTTTGTCA